CGATCATCCGGGAGGGACTCAGAGTAGAGCCGCTGCTTCTCCACGTCGAGAGGAGCCAGTTGAGGTGGCTTGGGCATCTGTTTAGGATGCCTTCTGGACGCCTCCCTGGTGAGGTGTTCCGGACACGTCCCACCGGAAGGAGGCCCAGGGGAAGACCCAGGACACGCTGGAGGGACTACGTTTCTCGGCTGGCCTGGGAACGCCTTGGGATTCCCCCGGAAGAGCTGGCCCAAGTGGCTGGGGAGAGGGAAGTCTGGGCCTCCCTACTTAGGCTGCTACCCCCGCGACCCGACCCCGGATAAGCGGAAGAAAATGGATGGATGGATGGATACATTGTTATTTACAGATTGGTTTTTTTAGATTATGTCTCTCACAGTGGACATGCACCTAAGATTGAAAATTTCAGACCCCTCCTTGATTTCTACACGGGAGAACTTGCAAAGTCGCAGGGTGTTCAAATACTTATTATCCTCACTGTATATACATACATACATATATATATATATATATATATATATATATATATATATATATATACACACACACACACACACACACACATATATACACATATATACATACAAGCTTTTGACACTATGGATCATAACATCTTGTGTCATAAGCTCTCAGAAATTATTTTTTCAGATCACACCATTGGTTGGTTCTCTTAACTATTTCTCAGATCAGAGGCAATGTGTTCAACATAATGGTATTTTCTCCAGTTATTTAACAGTCAACAATGGTGTACCACAAGGCTCAGTCTTAGGACCCACCCTCTTTACAATCTACATAGGTAATGTATTCAGAGCATCCTTGATGCATCCGTACATTTCTATGCTGATGAGACAGTTGTTTATTGTCGAGCTGAAACAGTTGCTAAGGTTTTCCAGCTTTTGCAGTCCACCTTTGACATCATCCAGTCAGATTTGTTCCGTCTCAAACTTGTTGTAAGTGCTGACAAAACCAAAGGGCTGTTGTTTTCAAACAGGAAGTCGGTCCCAGCAGTTCTTCCTCTGATTTTATCCTCAAATGGTGTCCCTATTGAGTTTTTCGATTCCTACAAATATTTGGGTATCTTTCTCTCTTATAAGCTTCACATGGAAAAACTAGCAAGGAAGCTGAAAGTTAAACTGGGTTTCCTTTTCAGAAGCAGATCCTGTCTAACTCTGAATGCTAGGAAACACCTTGTAACTATGACTTTCCTTCCCTCCATTGATTACTGTGACATTATTTACATGAACGCTCCTACAAGCACCCTGCAGATGTTGGATGTTGTCTATCATGGTGCACTAAGATTCATAACTGGCTGTGATTATCGTACCCACCACTGCTCCCTGTATTCACTGGTTAACTGGACATCATTAACTTCACGCAGACTCTCTCACTGGTACATTTTCATCTTTAAATTACTTCTTGGTCTGTTGCCTTCATACATCTCCTTCAACATGTCTCTGCACGAGTGCAGCTACAGCGTGCGCTCTCAGGACATTATTACCTGCAGTGTTCCCTCAGTGAAGACTGAACAAAAAGGTCTCCTACTCCGCTCCTGTAAAACCTTGCAAAAAGATCTGAAGCTCTCGACCTTGACTTCGCCAAATGGCTTCAAACATCTGTTAAGTTCTTGGCAAAAACCAACGCAGACATGTTCCTGTTTTTAGTTTTCTACACCGCCTTATAATCTAGCTGTTTTTGTTTCATTTTTTTTAAATGGCATTTTCTTTCACTTGTTATTCTCAATGTGTATGCTTTCTTTGTGATCGTCTGTTGTTGTCATTGTTGTCCACTGTTGTCATGACTCTTTGTTAGAATCAGGTCTCTCTTGTAAATGAGTCCCCGAGGCTCGGTGGGATTAACCTGTCTAAATAAAGGTTGAATGAAAATTGTAGATTCAACCACTTGCTTCTCTCCTGCAGCCAGCCCTCATTTTCTATTAAATATATATTTTTAGAGGAATCAAAAATCCTGTTACAAACATATTCAGCATACATATCCCACAATGCACTTTCAGATGACCCCCCACCTCTAAATACATTTCTTACCTGATATCTCCACTACGTCTTGTCTCTTCAGAACTGGAACTGCCACATGGCGTCAGCCCTCTACCAGCTGCAGAGCAGGATCCACTCCTCCTTCCTGACAGTTCGTCTCCCCACCTTCAGTTACAACCACACCTTCTGCGCCCACCTGGGCCAGAGACCTTCTCCTGAAGATGAACACGAGGAGCGCTACCTGCTGGACTCCATCAACTGGCCGGGGCCCCCGCCTCGCTCTGCGCCGCTCAGTCTGCGCCAGACAAGCGACCCCGTCCACAGCCTGTTCACCATCCTCCCCAGTAATGGGAGGCGAGGGTGGCACCTGGGGGACCAGCTGGAGGCCCTCGTTCAAATCCACGACTTTCAGGGCCGTCCGAAGCGCTACGGCGGAGACTTCATCTTAGCCCGGCTGCACTCTCCGGAGCTTGGAGCGGGTGTAGCTGGGACGGTGGTGGACCACAGGAACGGGATCTACTCGGCGTTGTTCCCACTGCTCTGGGTGGGACCCGCACGGGTGGAGGTAACGCTGGTCCACTCCAGCGAGGCTGTCGCCGTGCTGAAACGGCTGCGGGAGGAAAGACCCGATCGGGTGTTTTTTAAGAGCCTGTTCCGCCTGGGCTTCCTTTCAGAAACCACAGAGTGCAACATGTGTCTACCCTCGGACCAGCAGCCTCTGTGCAACTACACAGACCTGTACACCGGAGAGCCGTGGTACTGCTACAAGCCCAAGATGCTGAGCTGCGACAACAGAATTAATCACGCCAAAGGAGGCTATTTAAAGCACCTCCTCACCAACAAGGAGGCGCTGCTCTTCCAGAGGTCTGTAATCTGTAATGAAAGGCAGGCATAGCGCGTTTGTCTGTCTGTTAGCAAAATATCTCACGAACCACTGAACTGAATGTAATTAAACGTTCTAGACATAATCACTGGATAAACATCTGTAAATGACTCATCTTTGGAGCCAACCCAAATTAAGATGGCCGCCACATCCAAGTGACTTTAGGAAACACAAAAATGGCTCTAATTCAGACAGTATTATAGTTACTGAGCTAAGATTTGGTGTGTTAGTAGCTAAAAGTAATCCCCAACATATACTCTAAGCATTAACAGATCATTCAAGATAAACAGGCAATGTATGTCCCTTTAATTAATGTTAGTTTAATTTATACAGAGAAACGGTGCTCATAGTTGATACTGGTCATTCATCTGCGCGAAAATCATCTTTTTTTAACAGTAAATCTATTACAGATGAGGATGAGTCATTTTATCCAAATGGTTTTACTTTTACAATCGGACCAATATTACAATTAAGATTAAAACAGATTTTTAAATCAAAGGTTTGCATCATTATTAGAGTATGTGTGTTTGGATGAACTCTGACTGAGATACTACAGCCTCCAGCTGTTTCAGTAAACTGTTTAATATTTCATTCCGATTTATTTTTTTAATTCATTTATGGGAGCAGTAATTAAAAATAAATTGTCTTAAATGTTTTTCATTTGTTTTGTCCCCATCTCAGCGGCGTTAACATCAAAGTGGACGTGCACGCCTCAGGAACTGACAGAATCAACGTGCTGCCACAGGAGGGTACAGTTTATCCTCAGAGGAACATTTCTGCTGCGTCATCATAGTTAGGCCTGTCGTGATAAACAATAAATCAATTAATCGCACGATGAATGAAAATTATCGACCTCGGTTTAATTTATCAGCTTTATCGTTTCTTCGTGTCTCTCTCTTTCTATTGAAGACACTGGATGACAAAAAGCTCAACTCCAGTGTTCTTCACTGACCCCTCCCTTTCTCTTTAAAATCTGTTTTAACCGTCCGAAATCGCGTTTTTGGATCGTTAAAAGCAGCTAAGCTATGAGCTAAGCTAACAGGCCGACCTCGGGGAAAAAAAACCTCCGTCTTGTTGAAGCTCCAAAATTCACGTTTGAAACCCGTGCCTTTGTCTAAAAGTTGTTTTTCTCTGCAAAAAGAAGCTGAGAACTTGTTTACTGATTTTTTTTTTATTAAAAGCGTTGTGTGACAAATCTTATGCTAAAGAGTTCAAACCACACCGAGAGTCCGCCATTTTGAGAACTGAACAAACAGCCCATGTCACGTCATGGGGCCTCCCTCCCATTTTTCTTAAAGAGACATGCTGCTCGCTCCCTCACTATCCATCCTTCGGTTCAAACTGTCTTATACTGCCATCCGGTGGTCAGAAAAAAGCACTACACACGAATCAAATTAAACGTCTTCTTAAATTTGACAATAATTATTAATTATTGTCAAATTTCAAACAATATTATCGTTTATCGCAATAATTTCTGATACAATTAATCGCTCAGCAACTTTTGTTATCGTGACAGGCCTAGTCATAGTTTGATGATTTAATTCACTCTGTTTCAGGGAAGGCGGACGGGGGGAGCGTCACTTTGACACCAGGCCATTTTCAGTTTGCCCCTTCTGGGTTTTACTACGAAGACTCGTGGCGGCCGTTAGGCGGTGTTCTGATGCGGCACTTCAACGAGTCGTTTGCCATCGCTCAGTGTTTGAGGAACAAGGTGATCAACATGTACGGAGACTCGACTGTCCGTCAGTGGTTTGAGTACCTGATCGCTGCTGTACCAGGTGAGCACTTTGTTTTTATTCTTGATTTGTTCCTCCTCGGTGTGACTTCAGTTGGTTTCATCTTATCCAGAGCTGAAAGAGTTAAATCTACACAGCCCTAAAAACGTCGGGCCCTTCATGGCGGTGGACATCGCTCATAACGTGATCGTAAGGTACCGCTGCCACGGTCCTCCCATCCGCTTCTCCACCGTCTTGTCCAGCGAGCTGCGCTACGTCTCCAACGAGCTGGACGGCCTCTCCGGGGGCCGCAACACCGTGGTGGTCCTCAGCGTCTGGGCGCACTTCAGCACCTTTCCCGTGGAGGTGTACATCAGACGGCTTCGCCACATTCGCCGATCGGTGGTGAGACTTCTGGCCCGCGCTCCGGGGACGCTCGTGGTGATCCGATCGGCCAACCTGCAAGCTCTGGATCAGGAGGTGAGCCTGTACAACAGCGACTGGTTCTCCCTGCAGCTGGACACCGTGCTGAAGGCCATGTTCAAAGGCCTGAACGTTCTGATGGTGGACGCCTGGGAAATGAGCTCGGCTCACCACCTCCCCCACGCCCTCCACCCGCCTCCGTCCATCGTCAGGAACATGATCGACCTGGTTTTGTCTTACATTTGTCCGGAGAAGAAGAAGCTGTAACGTAACCACTGTCTGCAGCTGGAAAGATGCGTTTGGATAAATCAGACGTCGTCGTGTGACACCGTCTCCAACAACTGTTCCCAACGCCGTCCCCTCTGAGAGATCTGCCAAACTTTCAGTGAACTTTATCTCCACTTTCATTTGATTCTGGGAATGCCAAAGATTTTGGCGCAGCAATAGTTGTTGCTCGTGTGTTGTTGGTACCAAAGTGAGTCTTTGTGTGTCTCCAGATGTTACATGCTTCAGCCTCTTTTGACTTTGAGGATGTTTTTGTTTGTTTGTCCATTTGTTCCCATCATAAACACAATGTCGGGAAGATTTTGAGGGAAACCCTAAAAGTCAGTCGAGCTCATGGATAATAATGTTTTAGCTCACAGGTAAACATTCACGTGGCCTCACAAACACGATTCTAATCATTATTTTAGAATTTTAAACTTAGTTATCACAAAAATTCACACAAAACGGTAGAAAATATAGACTTTGAATATTCAGTTTAATACTTAAAAGATTTTTAAAAGCATATATGTCATATCACTGATTGGACTGACGCAGTTTGTTCAAGTTCAAGAGTCTTATTACACCTGAGGGGCAATTAGTTTCACAGTCAGTAGGCACACAAGGTATCCATACCAGACATTAGAATAACAAATCACTGTTCGTTGAGAAGCCTGATCGCTACAGGGATGGATGAGGTTTCAGTTTGTTCGTTCTACATCTGGGCAGCAGATAACTGCGTTCAGACAGAAGCAACTTGAACTCACCATGGAGTGGATGATCAGGATCTGCCAGAATCAGCCTGGCCTCGTTCACTGACCTCACCTTGTGTAGGTCAGAGTTGCATTCCGGGCCCAAAAAATCACAGTCATCATTTCCGAACCCCACCCAGCCCGACGAATTAACAGTAATTACAGGTCTGAACCCCCCCCCCCCCCCCCGACATTTTTAATTAGTTAACGGTCGGGGACGCGTGGCTGAATACAACGTGCATAAGATCGGAGCTGAGGGGTGTTTGTCCTTTCATGGCCGTAAAAGAACATTTAAACCTTGTTTCTGCCTGCATTCTGATTTATTCAGACACGGAGCCTGCTCTGACACGTCTGCTTTGGGATCTCACCTGCTTGGGTCATCGGCCGCGTGCGCCCGCTGAGTGCAGCGGCTGAATGAACGTTCATTTGGGCTGATGGATCGCTTCCTGGCAGTATAGTCCCATCTGAAGCTTAGCTCAACTTTTTACCTTTTCAAGGTCGGTCAGCTCGCGGTGAAATGGCCACGTGCGGCTGGTGAATGTATGGCATGCCATGTTATCTTATAATTGGATCGCGGCTGATCCTGACCCAATTAAAAGCCCAACACTGACCCGGCCCGCCCATCCAGCACATTATCATGGCCTGGCCCGCCCTGAATTTGGATCAGGTGGGGCCGGGCTTGGGTTAGAAATAACAGCTCGAGCGTAGGTCAGTGAGGTTCTGTTTGGTGGCTCGAGCTCATGAAAGAAGCTGTTCTTTAGCTATGTTTAGCTGTTTTGTATCTTTTTTACCAGTGGGCAGCAGGTTGAGCAGCTTCTCTTCTCACCTGTTCCTGCAGAGAACCCTCAAGGAACACACGCCGCTGAGCCTTCCTCACCAGTTAATTGCAGCTTTGGTCAGAAACAGTTTTATAAGACAAACATCTGATCACAAAGAGCAGAGGATGAAATGTCATTTAAACCTTTTTTTACATGTGCATATAAAATGTGGTTCTTGTTTTTTGGTGAAGCTTGAAGACACTGTTGTTACTGCTTCTAAGGTTTATAGAGCCCACTAACTGCTCAACGATTACAAATTCAATTGGCAAAAAGTTTTATTTTATTACAAAAAAACTAATAACCATCCCTTGCAACAGCCAACCGTTCAGTACAAACACAAACCTCCTGACCCTTGATTGGAGTTCTTGTTCAGAGGGAAGCAGAGTCCACACAGAGATGAACTTTAGATCACATTCGTTTTGAATCATCTCATATGAACGATCCGTGCCTTACACAATCATTAATCAGATTATTTATTGTTAGAGCCGTAGCTGTTCGTTTAGCTCATCGTTTTAGGGTTAAATAATTAACAGGAGAGCTTAAAATGTGCACAACGTAACCTAAAGCACAGGATGTGCAACTTTTACCAGATGCCTAGTTAAGAACATATTTAAAGACTCGGCTCAGTTTAACTCTGCAGATTTATCAGATCAGAAATTATACCTAAATGATGTGAAATCTTTGCTTCATCTGGGTCTTCAGCTTCTGGTAATTCAAGTGAAGATGATAAATACAGGTCCTTCTCAAAAAAATTAGCATATAGTGATAAAGGTCATTATTTTCCATAATGTAATGATAAAAATGAAACTTTCATATATTTCAGATTCATTGCACACCAACTGAAATATTTCAGGTCTTTAATTGTTTTAATACTGATGATTATGGCATACAGCTCATGAAAACCCAAAATGCCTGTCCCAAAAAATTAGCATATTTCATCCAACCAATGGAAGACAAGTGTTTTTAATACAAAAAACGCCAACCTTCAAATAATCATGTTCAGTTATGCACTCAATACTTGGTCGGGAATCCTTTTGCATGAATGACTGCTTCAATGCGGCGTGGCATGGAGGCAATCAGCCTGTGGCACTGCTGAGGTGTTATGGAGGCCCAGGATGCTTCGATAGCGGCCTTAAGCTCATCCAGAGTGTTGGGTCTTGCGTCTCTCAACTTTCTCTTCACAATATCCCACAGGTTCTCTATGGGGTTCAGGTCAGGAGAGTTGGCAGGCCAATTGAGCACAGTAATACCATGGTCAGTAAACCATTTACCAGTGGTTTTGGCACTGTGAGTAGGTGCCAGGTCATGCTGAAAAATGAAATCTTCATCTCCATAAAGCTTTTCAGCAGATGGAAGCATGAAGTGCTCCAAAATCTCCTGATAGATAGCTGCATTGACCCTGCCCTTGATAAAACACAGTGGACCAACACCAGCAGCTGACATGGCACCCCAGACCATCACTGACTGTGGGTGCTTCACACTGGACTTCTGGTATTTTGGCATCTCCTTCTCCCCAGTCTTCCTCCAGACTCTGGCACCTTGATTTCCGACTGACATGCAAAATTTGCTTTCATCTGAAAAAAGTACTTTGGACCAATGAGCAACAGTCCAGTGCTGCTTCTCTGTAGCCCAGGTCAGGCGCTTCTGCCGCTGTTTCTGGTTCAAAAGTGGCTTGACCTGGGGAATGCGGCACATGTAGCCCATTTCCTGCACACGCCTGTGCACGGTGGCTCTGGATGTTTCTACTCCAGACTCAGTCCACTGCTTCCGCAGGTCCCACAAGGTCTGGAATCGGCCCTTCTCCACAATCCTCCTCAGGGTCCGGTCACTTCTTCTCGTTGTGCAGCGTTTTCTGCCACACTTTTCCCTTCCCACAGACTTCCCACTGAGGTGCCTTGATACAGCACTCTGGGAACAGCCTATTCATTCAGCAATTTCTTTCTGTGTCTTACCCTCTTGCTTGAGGGTGTCAATGATGGCCTTCTGGACAGCAGTCAGGTCGGCAGTCTTACCCATGATTGTGGTTTTGAGTAATGAACAAGGCTGGGAGTTTTTAAAAGCCTCAGGAATCTTTTGCAGGTGTTTAGAGTTACGTTGTTGATTCAGATGGTTAGGTTAATAGCTTGTTTAGAGAACCTTTTCATGATATGCTAATTTTTTGGGACAGGCATTTTGGGTTTTCATGAGCTGTATGTCATAATCATCAGTATTAAAACAATTAAAGACCTGAAATATTTCAGTTGGTGTGCAATGAATCTGAAAAATATCAAAGTTTCATTTTTATCATTACATTATGGAAAATAATGACCTTTATCACAATATGCTAATTTTTTGAGAAGGACCTGTAATTTAAGTTTTATGACTTTCACTGTCTTGGAAGCAACGTGATAAAATAATGTAAATTAAAAGATCATTGTAGAGGAACTTCTTTAAAGATGGGTGTGAAGACGTCAGAACGATCAGGTCTGTGTTACACAGAGAAAATGTGCCTATTTTTGTCCAATCATGTTCCAAAATAAACTCAACTGTGCTTTTATCATTCTGCCAACATTTGTGCATTTCTGACTTTAAAGAGCAGTTTTGTTATCAGAAGCCATAATTTAACGTGAGGTCTGTGGAGGCAGTGACTGCAAGTCTGAGCTGGTCGATGTGCATGCATGGTGTTTAACCTGTACTGTTGGAGGAAATAAAATAATCTAATTTACGATGTTTCAGGCTGGAACACTCCTTTTTCATAAGCCGCGCTGCTGCAACTTGTTTCATTATCTCTTCTTTCAAAACATCTTTCTAAAACATAAAGTTCAGTTAAATAAATAACCCCTTCATTGTCGTAAGAATTCTTTTTTGTTATCACAGCAAAGTTTTAAATAAATATTACATTTTTAAATAAAAGTACTGAGTCATAAACCAAATTGGACTTTGAGACTTCCTGTAAGACAGTGTGCAGGGAGACAATAATCCACGAATAAAGCTGAAACCAACCAGCAGGGGGCAGCAAAGCTCAGCAATCGTTCTACTGTTTGAACAGTTGCTTTAAAAAATATATAGAAAGGACAAAACTTTACTGTTTAGCTTTAGTAAGATAACTTTTTGAAGCTGAAAAATTGTCAAAATAAACTGCCACACATCTTGATATGACTTTTATTTAAAAATGTTCATGTTAACTTTGAAAACTTCAAGCATCCGTTTCAGTACTTCAGTTCTTCCACAGCATACATTTTTTGTTTTTCTTGGAGTACAATGTTCAGGTTATAAATGACTTTGGCCAAAACACAGCAAATATTCGAACAAAACTAAAGGCGACACACGCACTCGTGTACAAAAACTTATGAAGGTGACACTTAGAAACCTCTGACAATGCCTTCAGTCGGGACGCAAAAACAAGCATCCATTACAAATATCTGATCTTCACAGCAAAGCAGAGTTTTAAACGGAAACAAGTCAATTCTGTGAGCTTCAATACAAAACATCAACAGGAGCGTATAATATGAAAACCCAACGGGGACGGGGCGGATATGTCAAAGTTTAACTTGGAGCAGCGTCGTCTGTAGATCGAACAGAAAAGAAGCACAGAGCTTTTTATTTTACATTTTAAACAATAATTTGAGACCTCTGTGTCCGTGTTTCAACGTGAGGAAGGAGTGTGTGATACTGTAAGTGTTGAATACATCAACAACAACAAAACGATGGCAGGAGTGTAATTTTACTTACAGTTTCAGAAAACTTACAAAATAGAGCACAAACCGTGTAAATGACAAAACACTCAGCAGAAACAGAACAGATTAACGGTTTTAAATGTGTTTTTTTTTAAGAAGGACCATCTTTTTATGGCGTGCATAAATGAAAATCCTCTGACAAGAGGAAGTGAGCCTGTGTGTGACGGCGTGCTGAGTTTAGACTGATCACACGTCCTGGACGTTCATGGCTGCCTCAGGCCAGCTGTACGTGTCCAGAGTGAAGGAGTCGTAATCCGGACTGTAGATGTGAGACAGAACAAAGGCCTCCTTGTCTTTGGGTTCAGGATACACTGAAGCCATGTTGTTTGTGTAGGCGTAGTTGACAATCTGTCAGAGGAGGAAACCAGAGAGATGTGGTGATGAAACAGGTAAGTAAGCACTTGTCCTGCAGCAGCTGTGATTGTTCACTGATAACATCAATGTTAGTTTGATCCTCTGCCTCTTCTGATTGACGCTCTGATATTTAGGATGTTACTTCACTTTGTCAATTAAAAAAAACATCTTTTCTTAATACCATTTATATCCTGTTTGTGTAAAAACATAATTCGATGTCCATTGACTGTACTGACCAGTCAGAGAATACTACCTTTACTTACTGGGTGAAAAAAATTACTGTAATTTCCAGACTATAAGCCACTACTTTTGTCACAGGCTTTGAACACAGCGGTTTATACAATCCTGCAGCTAATTCATGGATTCTTTTTTTTTTTTGACGGGCTAACGAGCTTCATGCAGCCAAAACATTTAGCCTGGTTACACCCAGGCGCTCACAGGAGGACGATGAAGCTAGCAATCAATGACTTCATGGTAGGCTACTGTATTTATTCAATTTAATTTTTTTCTAACTAGCTGTGTTACAGGCACTGTTCAGAAAAAAAAATAATTACTTTACGCATTTGTGTATGTTACTGGTACATATTGTAGCATTCTGCTGTGGTTGACATCAGTCACATGGCCTCAGGGAGGGATTATGGGTAGAATTTATGTTCATTGTTAATAATTTCGGTTAGCTCTTTAGCTTTGTTCTTTTAGTGATTAGTCTGTTCTTAGCCTAGTTTATGTTTAATAGAGGAACCATGAGTGAGGGAGGTAGTTGTCATGAAGACCTGTGAGGTTCACTCTTTCTGTGTGTGTTGAACATATAAAACACCATGATTGGTTGATTCTTGATCCACAACAAGAGCTGCACATCTCTCTCAGTAGCTGTTTGCTGTCATCCATCCATCCATCCATCATCTTTACCCGCTTCTTCCTTTTCGGGTCACTGGTGCCCATATCCAGCGTCACTGTGCGAGAGACAGGGGCCCTGGACATGTCTCCAGTCCATCACAGGGACACAGAGACAACAACTCTCTCATTCACACCTAGAGACAATTTAGAGTCACCAATCAGCCGAACATGCATGTTTTTGGTCTGTGGGAGGAAACTGGAGTACCTGGAAAAAAATCCACACATGCACTGAGAAAAGATGCAAACTCCACCATGAAAGGTCCCGGGCTGGGATTTGAACCGGCGACCTTCTTGCTGAGAGGTGGCAGCTCTACCAACTGTGCAACCAGCTTTCACGCTATAGTATTTAATTAAAAGATTTTAAAAACCTTCTGTGTAAATATCTCATGTTACAACGTGGACACCTGTGGCTTATAAAGGTGCAGCCTAGATATGTACAAATTTAATTTAGTTTTTAATTTAGTGGGCGCGGCTTATATTCAGGTGCGATCAATAGTCCAGAAACTATGGTAGACACTGACCATGTTTTGCCCGTCATTGTGCATCTTTCTGATGAGACTCAACACTGTTCAATAAAGCACAGATGTAAAATTTAAAACTTCACAAGCAGCTCACCACAGGCCGCTCTGCAATGCATACTAAATTACTTTATCTAGTTATTTTATTTTGAAACCACAGTTACATTTATAAGATGTTTATTCTGATGACTCCAAACCATCATCAGGTTGGTAATTTTGTTTTTACAGGCAGCATCTCTATTATTTTTCCTCAAAGGTAGACTTCAGCAAAACCATTTGGAGCTGAAATTAGGGATTATAGTGATTATTTTACTCTGAAGTGCCAGTGAGCTGGGAAGAAGCAAAATAAATTATTTCAGATTTTTTTTTAATTTGACCTCAATAAGGCTCCAGCTGAAAAACCCCTTTCAGCTCAGGATGGAACTCTCAGAAATTATAATCCAATAAAATAAGTTTTATTAAAGTCTGTGCAAACAATCAGCATTCTTAGGCAGCAGCTTAATTTAGTGAGATTATCAGCGCTACAGTCCACTTCTCATTTAATCGTACAACGATTGAGATTGCGTAACAGACTGTCAGAGCGACGGGTTGACATGGATTAAAGATCACCTACCTTCACAGCAATTTTAAAAGACACCTCCCTGATGGTGTTGAGGGGAGGGTAAAGTCTTCCCTCAGCCAGGTTCTCCTCTGTTACCATGTTAGCTATGGCCTGATAGAAACAGAGTAAAATACACATGTAGGAGAGGTGAAGCCATATGAATCATGTGGCATAATATTTTTCCAATCACAGTATAAAATCTGTATGTCCAGCTCTTAATGAACACAGTAAGTGAGGAACCTTGTACCTCTGCAGTGGTGAGGAAGATGTCATCAGATATGTGGCGCACTCCGCATGCGATAATACCCAAAGCCACTCCAGGGAATACATAAGCGTTGTTTCCCTGCCCGGGAAAGAAGGTGCGTCCGTCGGACAGTGACACCTTCTCGAACGGACTCCCGCTGGCAAAGATGCCTCGGCCCTGATTAAAGAGACGGAACAAAAAAAGAGATTTGTATAACCCTAAATACAAAAGGAGGAGGACAAAATAAATATTCTAATAATATTTTATGTTGCACCGATACAAAACCACATTCATGACTTTGATTAAAATTGTTCACAAGATCTTTCTGTTGAACTTTTGAAGTCAGGCTAGTAAAACATGAGCGCTGAATTTGTGATCAGCTGGAAGAGGTACAGCAGAAAGCTTTTCAAAACCAGTTCTGTTCAGTAGCATCAGCATTGTTACAAAATAACACAGAAATCATGTGTACGACAGTAAGTGTTATCTCTGCTTTTAATAATTAAGGAAGGTTGTAAATGTAAACTGAGGATGAACTTTACCTCTGTGAGGTTGTAGCACTGCTCTGCCGTGCACTCAGCTTTGCTGGTAGGATTGCTCAAAGCAAAAATGATCGGCCTCTGATTGAAAGACGCCATGTCTTTGATAATCTTCTCCGTAAATGCCCCCCCGATAGCAGCCACGCCTTTAAGACAAACTCCAGTCAGTTTCTCACATCAAAGACTCTAAGGAAACCAGTGAATGAATTAAATTACTGCAGAATAGGGCTGGGCGATAAGGACCTAAATTGATATCTCGATATTTCCAAGATAAATCGCGATATACAATATATATCTCAATATTTTTCTTTCCATAAATAACAAAAATATATTTCTGAATCAAAGCCTTGTCCCAGTTGTCACAGGCACATTTATTAACAACAGCTGTAACTACAAAATAAATGTCTAAAAAATAAACTATTTACATATATTAAAGTTTGTTTTTTTAGACATGTATTTACATATACAAGTACAAGTTTCAAGACATAACGTCCATAGAAAAATCAAAGTAAATATGTTCTTGTTTTTAGTATGTCACCCTGTTTTACAGCACCCTGATTTATTAATAAATCTGAAGTCTGGTTCTAATGAAGTATATTCATTCAACCTTTAATAACCTTTATTAACAAAGCTCTGACTCTGAAAGTGCAGAGCTCAGTTGGAGGTTTGTTTTTTTTTTCTCTCTGGACATGGACGAAGCCTTGTTGTTCAAGCTTGTTTGTGCTTTATTGCTGTGTCTAAATACCAGAAGAAACACAGCAAATAAATCATCCTAAACTGTTTATTTGTCTCCATGTTTTTTAATGAGAAGACAACTTCATATCTTGCCACTGTAAATCAGTTCACTTCCTGGAGAACACCAAACCTCTGCTTTGTAGCACCTATCCAGTCGTTTTAACACCTATGAGGAATGTAGAGTATAAGGCCCTATTTACACGGACACGATGGGGGGAAAACGTAGGTTTTTTGTATGTTAATTAGAGGAAAAGATCCACGTTGACATGGACAGATTTTGGGTTTACATGCATCCGGAGGATCTGAATTTATATGGAGCCGTCAGCTGCCTTGTGTGAAAAACAATATTCTCCATGGTCTTCTGTCTCATCTTCTGCTCATGCTGAGTCCATTTTTGAAAAATGACAAAATGTAACTCCTAAAACTGCTAAAACTTGATGCCACTTCATTTTTGTTTTTATTTACAGAAGAAGAAGTGTCTTCAAAGATTTTTGTGTCGTTTCTTTCAGTAGTTCTTGGTGCAGCGAGCGGGGGAACAGGTTAGTTCAACAGGTTGACTCGACTGCACAGTGCAGTGCGAATGCAAACGCACCAGCTCAAATGTAAACAAAATGTTGTTAATATTGGTCCTCAACTGAACCGAGTCTACCGGACTATCAGGTGTGAAAACAACAACCTATATCATTTTGTATCAGTATAGTCTCATTTTATATCGTGAATTAAATTATATTGATATTTTAAAAATATCGATATATCGCCCAGCCCTACTGCAGAATAAGTAGTTTTTCTTTAGCTTTGCAGCTATAACACTTAATAGCACTCGAGAGCCATTTAATAAAGTTTCAAATGTGTTTTTTGTGCGTGATGCTGACTGAAACATTGTTTGTTTTTTTTATTTCACCTATAATGGCAGTGGGTTTGATGACGTGCACCACCTCCTCCAGAGTCTTCAGGTGTGGATGCTCATGAGCAAACTCAGCCTTCTCGTGGTTCAGATGGCTTCTTCCCTGTACACAATAAAAACTTTATTTTGTTATTCTAAACCTCCTTCATTAGAATGAACAGCGAACCAGACGCTGTACCTTTACAATGAGGCCTTTTGAATCGACCATCCAAATCCTCTTGGCAGCCTCTTCTCTGCTCACTCCCTCTTTGGCCATGGCCATCATGAGTAGATGGGCAATACCCAGAGCTGCCTGGTGGGAGAACAAACTAAATCCATCTGCATCAAATGTTTCAAGTTTCTTCGGACTGCAAATTCATCATCAAAGCCGAGGAACCGCTTATCTCCGCTCACCTCGCCTGCTCCCTGGAAAACAAACGTGTGGTCCAACAGTTTGTTTTTGGTGATCTTCAAAGCTGCAAAGATTCCTGCAACAGCTACAGAAGCTGTGCCTGTATAAAAAAATAAAAAGTTTCTCTGAGAGGAGAGTTTAGTTTACAGTGAACAATGTCCACTTGTCACATCAGATATTTGACCAAAGAGTTTTTTAATTATTTAAGGGTCATTTTTCAAAAATAGACACATCTCTGGTCATGAAAGACTAGATCTCATCCATGGAGGTAACTGTGCTCATTAATGATCACAAGATAAAAAGCTTCAACATTTAGGACAGGTAGTGAGACAGTTGCTACAGACTAACAAAAGATCTGCTGAAGCACGGATCAGTGCAGCGCTGGTGTGACTGGATAAACTAACAGATACTACAATTAACCCAGAGAAGTTGTTTTAGTTTGAACTTTATGGTGTTAAAAATATAAAGATAGTAAAATAAAAAAAAGGACAAAAACGCACATCCTGGGGTATCTATAAATGTGTTTCTTACTGACAGCAACTAATACAAAAGAACAAAAAATCTTAAATTGATTCAGTTTATGTCTCCAAGTCATGAATACTAATGAAAGTTCTCATCTGTAAAGTCCTGCTCCTAAGCCTGAACTTTGACCCCTTGAGGTCCCTGAATCTTCCAAACGTTACAATTACTGATGAGTTTCAGTAACCATCAGGACCAGGAGACTTAACTCTAAATTTAAGGAGACAACCTTCTGGTTCCAAACTAACCTGCTGTCAATGTGCACTAGATGATCAGACCGAACCTGAGTAACTGGCTACTCTTGAAAAAAAGATGCAAATACAAATGAGCTAGAAAAATGTCATTGTCAATATGCAAAGTCCAAATTTTTAACCACACCAGAAAGGACAAGGCACGAATATGTTGTAAAGAGTTTTCCTTAAAATAAGCTGCTTAAATCTCAGAGCATGTAGTGATAGAAACAGTCATTTTACTGTATGATGCAGGTCTTTATAATGAATTATTTCAGTTACTTTCCTTAATGCAACATTGAACTATAAAAACATTAACACTGTACCTTGGATATCGTCGTTAAAGGTGCAGTATCGATTCCTGTACTTGTTAAGGATACGAAAGGCATTGCTGTTGGCAAAATCTTCAAACTGTATCAAGCAGTTCATCCCGTATCTGCAGAGAAACAGAATCATTGCACAACAAAATCACAACATTTCATTAGTTTGGGTTTGTTTTCACTCACTTGTCCGTCACCGCCTGCATAAACTCATCAATGAGCTCATCGTACTCCTTCCCTCTGATTCTCTTGTGCTTCAGTCCGATGTACAGTGGGTCGTCAAGCAGCGCCTGGAATAGTTAAACATGTCTTTAAATCATCGAGCACCTACTTGATTCATTCTCTAATCTCATCTGAAGTTAACTCTGAAGTTTTTGCCTTCCTGCTGCTCTGAGGTCAGGCTCACCTGGTTGTCGGTGCCGACGTCCAGCAGAACTGGGAGACACTGCTGTGGGGGAACCCCGCCGCAGGCTGTGTAGAGAGCCAGCTTCCCCACAGGAATTCCCATCCCATAGCTGCCCAGGTCACCCAGTCCAAGGATTCGCTCCCCATCTGTCACCACGATGGCCTGGAAGGTTCAAACGCATTAGCAATAGGTCCAAAGTGTTAACTCACGAGGAGCTGGGTGCTGCGTGGACCTTGATATCTTCTTCAGGCCAGGAGTTGAGCATGGTGGCGATGTGTCCTCGGTCATGAATGGTGATGAAGAGTCCTCTGAAAACATGCAGAGGAAAGCATAAATTCTCCATTACACAAACTATTCTGAAGGATTAATAAAAAAATAATTTGTCAAAATGTTTCTAAAAAATACAATACAAGAATTAAGGTGTACTATATCACCTTTAATCAACAGCAGCTAAATATCCAATTATGGCAAATTTGTCCAGTGGTTCACAACCCTGGTCCTCGAGGAATACTACCCTGCATGGTTTAGATGTTTCCCCACTCCAGCACACCTGATTCAGGGATTTAGTTACTTCAAGTTCTGCAGAAGCCTTATTATTCACCCATTCATTCAAATCAGCTGTGTCAAAGTAGGGAAACAATGTGCAGGATGGTGTTCCTCAAGGACCATGGTTGGGAACCACTGAATTTGGTCGTTTTCACACCTGATAGTCCGGTAGACTCGGTTCGACTGGGGACAAAATTTGGAACATTTGTTTACATTTTCAGCTGGTGTGGTTTGCATTCACTGAGTGCAACTTACTTCTGGAAATAAAAACAAAAATGGAGTGGCGTCAAATTTGAGCAGTTTTAGTTTTTCGGTTTTGTCATTTTTCAACAAAGGACTCAACATGAGCGCAAGATGAGGCAGAAGACCATGGAGAATGTTGTTTTTCACACAAGGTGGCTGACGGCTCCATATGAGGTAAGAGAAATGCGCGTTTGTTTTGGTTGTATTTACACAGAATGCCCTGCGCTGTAGTCCACTTCCTGCTTTTGAAGCAGTCTCCGGTCTGCTTGCATTCACACTGCATTCGAACATTTGTTTACAAAAACAGAGTTCACTTCAACCGAACCGAGACCTAGGTTTTTAGGCAAACAAGAGTTTGCGTTTTTGGTCCGCATGAGAATTCGATTGTGCATTCACACCTCCCCAAACGAACCGAACTTTCTAGGCAAACAGACTAGAGTTCAATTAAAGCGGACTAAACAGGGTTGGTGTGAATGCACCCCAAGTCTGATGATATTGTAACCTCTATAAATAAGGTGCAGTTCTCAGCTTGCTCAACCCTCAAAATTTCTGATGCTTGTAGCTGATGTGAACACATCGTATAAATTTTTAAATGTACAATAAACATTAATCTCACCGCGGTCTCCTGAAGGCGAGCCCATACTGCTGACAGGCCAGACCAACAGTGGGAGTGTAGACAATGGGCATGAACTGCTCGATGTCAGAGGTCAGCACCCGGTAGAACAGCTTCTCATTCCTGTCCTGCAGCGTCATCAGCAGGATGTACCTGAGACAAAGGGAAGCAACCAATCAAAAGTTATTTTGTTCAGAAATGTACAAAAGCATTCGTCTTTTAATTAACTGTGAATGTGCTGGTAGGGATGAAACGTGTACGCATCACTCTAGTGATAATGCACGTGTATCAAGTTTCATAAAATTATCTAGAGCAGAGCAGAAGTTATGGACCGGACAAGTTTACAAATGTAACGCCCTGCCTTTAATGGGCGTATGAAAATATTTTTATAGCAGTTGGTGCCTGATCTATAATGTTAGGAAATTTTTGGACACAGGTTATGAATGCTTTTAACTACTATGGCTGAGAATGTTAACTCTGCCCATGAACCATATGTTTGGGTTAGTAGAAAGATGAATGAGGAGCTGAGTGAGGCTGCTACGTGCAGCTGTTGCTTCAAGGACGCCTCAGAGTCTGTGAGCTCGGCTGAACTGATAAGAGTATAAAAACAAGATACACACACTGCTCGTGGCAGATTCTTGTAACTGGTTTTCATGTGTACTTCCTAGATCTGTGTAACTTGTCCTGAAAATCTGTCCTTGCAAGTAAAAACCGATTAAAAATCTTCTCCTGTGGTCGAATGTGGCTTCTTTTGAGTAAGTAAGATAAAGTGAGAATAGTTTTCTCCAACATATAAATCTCTAAGTTGCCATCAAAATTGCATTACACAGCTGATTACATAAATTCTTATATTTAAGAGCTTGAAAAGTATAAAGGGGATGGTGTATGATGTGCAACTTAAAGTCAGCCCTTGAACATTGCTTTAAAAGCCTTCAACTCCATACTGAATAAACGTTGAATTAAATGAGAAAGACGAGCAGTGGGACATGCTGAGGAGGGTTTAACCCAGAAAGCGAGCCGGCCTGAACTGATTGAACATCTGCGATGTGATAATCTTGAAGATCACTTTGCGATGCTTTATTAGAAATGTCTAAGACTCACTTGTCCAGGGCGTTTGAGCGTGTTTCGTAGCTCTTAACGACCCGCAGCACTTGTACATCCTGGGAGAGGAAGCAGGGGGGCAGCAGGCCATGGATACCCAGCTGTAAGCGCTCCTCCAAAGTAAATGCCATGCCCTGCAGAGTGGAAGAGACATTGTTGTATAACACTGTGATGCCTGGGAGGAGTCGCAAAGAGCTAAAGCCCCTAAACTAAATAAAAAGGCAGAAAATACAGACAACAGTGACTCATGTGTTAGTCATCACACAAAGCGGGGAGTTATGACTCATACAAATAAAAAGGTCTTTTTGTAAGGGCTGCTTCTAATTAGGACACTTTTGCATGAGAAAATACAAACAGTGGAAACAATGGTTGGAAACTTGGGAGCAGCAAACAACAAGCGGAGGACAAATGATTTTGCAACACTGCTGGATCCTTCTAATTTAAAAAAAAATGTGGATAAAAATGAATAAAGATTGTGCAAGTAATGTTGAAAATATGTTTTTTACATGGCTATTTGATGTAAAAACTGGACTGCTGCAATAAAACTTGGTTTCCATCAGCATTTCTAACTGATGTGGTTTACATTCCTGGATTGTGTTGATAATCAGAACAGCCCTCCCAAAATTTAAAATGTGGGAAAGAGTGGAAAAAATGATTACTTAAACTGAGCTTTTATTCTGCACAGCTCTCTGGTTAGCATTACTGTTTTTGTTGTTGCAATGAAGGCGTCCCAAACACCATCTACCGGGGAGTGTGAGCTTTAATCTATTTATTCTGTCCAATGGAGTGGGTGCCTGAACCCACACCCCTGTCAGCTCCACTTCTCTTTCCTCATCTTGCTTTGTGGCTCTTGTTTCCTCTCAAGAAGAGTAAACTGGCTTTGTAGCTTCAATTTGTATTTGAATTTACTCATATCTTAGGGAATTTTTCATGCTAGCAGAATTTAATGTGAAATTAGATAGCAGGTTTTTACAACCGCATCATCTGAAGTGTAACACAAGCTGCATTGTTTCGAGGAGCATTTTGATGAAAGATGCTCCACGTCACAGCTGAGCGTTTCCTACCACATAAAAAAAAAGACCTACTGCAGCTGCACAACTCAAGGTTTCAAGAAATGGTTCACTGGAAGAAGACTGGATAACAAATCAGATCAGAACTACACAGGAAAAGAAAACTCCCAGAAAAAACTAAACCTAAAATAACCTCAGCTCACACATGCGGATGGAAAACTTTTCAGTGTCAGCAAGTGTATTTATACTGCTGTGAAAACAGTCCAAGTCAGAGATTAAGAATTAGTTCAAAGTTATAGCAAGCTGGTAAAAAACAAAACAAAAACAAAAAAAACAACTAAACTAAACATTAAAGTGACAAAACCCGACCTTGATTTTAGGAGCTCTAACCAGATTATAGACCTCAAACCAATCTCCCATTCGTCTAAAAACTTCTTGAGAAAATAGTTGCAAATCAGTTGCGTGAACATCTGGACAGAAATAATCCGAGACGGTTCAGTCAGGGTTTAGAGCTCATCATAGCACAGAAACAGCACTGGTGAAAGTTACTGATATCCTCATGGCCTCAGACCGTGAACTTACATCTATAATGGTTCTGTTAGACCTCAGTCCTGCATTTGATACAAATGATCAACAAATTATATTACGGTCAATGGACTGTACTTATACATCGCCTTTCTATCTCATCAAGATACTCAAAGATCTTTACAACACAATCTGTGCCTCATTCACTCATTCATACAGCACTCTACTAGATTTTTTACAAAGATTAATCAGTGCTTTATCACATTCATACACTGATGGGACACACATCGGAGGCAATGAGGGGTTCAGTGTCTTGCCCAGAGACACTTCAGCATGTGACTGCTGGTGGAATCGAACCCCCAACACTCCCATTGGAGGACGACTGCTTTAACCACTCATCCACAGCCCTCCAAGGTCTGAACATGATATTAGGAGCAGCTATAAAATGGTTCAAATCCTGTTTATCATATAGATAACAGTTTGTTCATGTTAATAATGAATCTTCCTCATACACCAGTTAGTCATGGAGCTCCTCAAGGTTCAGTGCTTGGACCAATGTTATTTACATTATATATATGATTCCACTATGTAAAGTTATTACACATCATGAGATAAATTTTCATTGATATGCTGACAGTACTCTTTACAATACTATACTTTACTCTGCTTTACTATACTCAATACTTTATCCATGAAATCTGATTACCCGTACCTATTACTTAGATTACAAGCTTGTCTTAAAAGATATGAGCAACTTTTAATTTTATGCTTTTAAACTCAAGTGATAGATTTGGGGATTTTGGGACCTGGTCATCTTAAATCCTATAATAAATCATAAATCCTATAGTTGAGCGTTGACGGGTTTCCTGAGGTATCCACTAGTTATGCTGCTATAAGCATAAACTGCTAGAGGACAAACTGACCACAGTCCCTCATTCTGCTGTTGTTTTTAATTATTTCTATTGTTAATAGGTTTTTCTTACCACATAAACCACACCATGACAAGCCATTCTGTGTTTGTCTCTTTTCTGTCCTCTATAACCCCAGCCAACTGAGGCAGAGAGCCGTTATCTTGAGCCTGGCTCTGCTGGAGGATTTTCCTGTTTAAAAGGGAGTTTTTCCTTTTCACTGTTGTCATTGTGCTTCTAAGGACGATGGACTGAACAAAGAGATTTGACACAATCTGCTTCCTTAGATGATTTTTACTAATTGGCATGTTATGTTGTTGTTGTTTTTCTTTTGGTTTCTCCCTTATGCAGGAATCACCACAGCTACCAAACTTGTATGAAATATTTGGCCAATGTTTTACAACAGATGACCTTCTTGATGCAACCTGGACTCGAACCTGCAACCTCAGGATTCCTGGACCACAGCTCTGACCACCGAGATACTGCAGCCTCAATAATTGGCACTTTATAATGTATATAAATGTTTTGTACAGTGCCCTGAGACGTTGTGAACTGGTACTATATAAGGCTGCAGTTAAAGTAATCTACAATTAATCTAATCTCTTTATCTACACCTTATCATTGTACGTGTGAGACTACAAAGGCTGTTAGTTTTATTACAGTAAAGAAAGGATGGACGTGTGCGGACTCTGACATTTGCTAATTTACTGGAATTAGTTTGATACGTTCGCAAAAGTAAGAGTGAACTGGAGCTGATTTTCAACAGTGAAAATGGGACTGTACCACATAGTGACTCATTAAAAACAGGAAATTGATCTGAAAGCATTTGAGCTGCTCACTTTTTAAACCATATTGTTCCAAACCAGGCCGTAAGCTAGTATACGTTAGCTTTTTTTAATCCAAGTGAGGCTCCTCTTCCTGACTGCACACATCTGACCTGTGAGTCAGGATGCAAGTGCTGACTGAGCATGTGCAGTTGAAGGAACTGAGACCGAAACACCCATCAACAAAAAGTCAACTCAGCTCAAGCTGCTGCAGCAGTTCTGTTCTTCTCAAGCTAACCGTTTGCAACAGATGGTTGAATATCTAATTTTTACGAAAGTAGTAGAGATTTCAACCCATATTATGTATTACAGTAGCAAAGACAAGAAAACAATAGCGACATCACTCTTATAAATGTCTAAAATCTGTAGCTTTTATGATGTTTTTCTTCTTTTTTGTCTGTTTATGTTAATCCATCATCACTATGCTGGATATAATACCTGTACACACAGTTGAGACAATGCAGTAAAAGTACAAGATCAGTTTTTATGGTTTAAATTACACTTTTCCCCCACAAGAACCATTTTAAACTCCTTTGAGATAAATGGATGTAATTAAACACTGATTCACATCATCTTTAGCGTGACATTTAACCCATTATAAACATGAAGGAGCCTGAGTAATACCCAACTGTGCATGAGCAGTCCTTGTAATCTCACTATAGCAAACACAACATAAACTGTATTAACATAAAGGTCTAATTAAACAACAATTTACTATTATGTTTTATGCATCATATTAAACGGTAATGAGACTCAGTTTCACTGTTATATCAACGTCACAAACATAGCTTCCTTAACGAAAACCCGCATTTTGGGTTAAGAAGACATTTGTTTATTTTCATGACAAAATTGTAATTTATTAAATGTGCTAATAAAGCAAATATTGTCTCATCATTTTTGTTGTATCTATATGGTTAGAGGCTCCACTACCACCATTATCCCTGATTAAAATTAACAGAAATATTACACAAGATCCATAATGGCATAACCTCAATAATCCAGAGTCTGATGAGTTTTGCTCTATTCCCCTGTTTTTTATACAATAATTTTGGAAAAAGATAATTTTATGTTAAATTAAAAGAACTATTCAACCGCTGCTCAACTGCCTGGCTGACATCAGGGACTGGATGGCTTTAAATTTCTTAAGTTTCAATGAAAAGAAGTCTGAAGTCATGTTGTTCCCTCCCAACGACACGATCACAAACCACTGCATCGACCTCTCCGCTCTAACCCTGTCAGAAAAACAAAGAGTCACTAATCTGGGCGTGATAATGGACCCTTCCCTGAAACTTAATCATGTAAACATGATTGTTAAATCATGCTTCTTCCAACTGAGGCAGCTGTCTAAACTGAAGCCCATATTGTCCAAAAATAACCTGGAGACAGTAATACATGCATTCATTACATCTAGGCTTGATTACTGCAATTCGCTCCCGTTTGGTATCAGTCAGACCTCCATTGCACGACTACAACTGGTCCAGAATGCAGCAGCCCGATTTTTAACCAGTACAGGCAAAAGAGAGCACTTTACACCAGTTTTGGCCTCACTGCACTGGTTACTGGTTCACTTTCGAATCCAGTTCAAAATACTCATGTATGTCTACAAATCCCTGAACAATCCCCCCCCCCCCATCTCTCTGATCTGCTACAACCGTATGTCCCACCACGTTCCCTGAGGTCAGCGGACCAGTTGCTCCTCATAGTTCCAGGAACTCGTCTTAAGCGCAGAGGTGACAGGGCCTTCTCTGTAGCAGGACCAAGATTCTGGAATGAGTTACCTCTGCTTGTCAGACAGGCCCCCTCCCTCTTGGTTTTCAAGTCCCGTTTAAAAACTCATTACTATACGGTGGCTTTCAACACAAGATGATCTGTGTTTTGATCCTGTACGCTCCACACTGGTTTGTCGTCATTATCTGCATCGGTTTATGTCTTTATTCTGATTTACTTCATTTTGTATTTTGCTTTGTGTGTTACCTGTTGTTTTGTCTGTACAGCAATTTGGGTGGCCTTGTTGCTGTTTTAAGTGCTTTATAAATAAAGTGGTATGGTATGGTATCAACTTTGAAAATACGTGCAATGCTGTGTGACATTGCAGAAAATCATGCTCATAGTATGAGTTGGGACTGACTCTCAGCTACTACCACGTCAAATATTAGCTCAATATTTGTAAGACTGACTAAGGTCACTTGGCTCTGGCTACTACTTTTTAAAGCTTTGCTGCATTTCCTGTTCAGCTGAAGTGTTGTATGAGCAGAAAACGACTAGTTTTATAATGAAATCATCTGTATAAGCAGGCCTGTTTACATACAGTTTACTGAGAACAGTACAGTTCTGTGCAGACTACATAAATATGATCCATCATACTTACCTTACTTTAGCATATTTATATATTCAGATATGACCTCTTGATGAGCTTACCTTGTTCAGGTGGGGGTTTCTGGTAATGTCATAGCCTCTCTTCTTGGTAAACACGCTGCCCTTTCGGGTCGTCCCTGAGTGGCAGACCCGCACAGCCTGGACAGCGGCCCTGTCAGCCAGCTGCCAGCCGGCAGGGTGACTCGGAGAGGCGGCCAGCGTCCTCAATCCGCCCGCTGTTGCGCGTCGGCACAGAGACAAAGCAGCTTTTCCTGGGAGGGAGTTCATGGTGCCTGCGCAGAAACATCCAGGGTGAAAATCACAACTTACCCAGCGGTGAAAGCCGAGTAGCACTTGGAGAAATGGGCACACGCGGCCCCATGATGCCAAACAACCTGTGCGTAAACAACCTGCTTCACACCACTAACCTCGAAGAGCCACTTCTTCCGTAGGCGCCGCGGGTATCTACACAAATGGTCTAAAAGCTTGTAAACTATTCAACTACTCGTACTAAACAACCAGCCGAAATGTTAAGTGTCTTTGTATATGAACGCTATTGTGTGGAGCTACTTCCTGCCTACTAGCTATTGTTAGCTGCTATTGTTTTTATAAAAAACACGGGTTTCTTTAAGGAATAACCGGCTACAGCTAACAAATCCAACGTTAACAATTAGATAACATTCATTAACCTCACCTGGAAAAAGCCGGCGGTTGTTTTTCAGAAGAGGGGGCTCGACAGCTGATCAGGAGGACATTGGGAGTTTCACTTCCCCCCGGTGTGGATAAGCCCGCCCAGCGCCCCGCCTCTTCACGCTCCACAGGCACTCTCATTCCAACGACAGGTGTCCAGACCAATGAAAGAACAGCTCCCAAGCAGGCCCCGCCCTCCTGGCTGCTCCGTATCCACCAATGAGAGAGCAGCAGTGCGGGAAGGTCCCGCCCTCTCTGCTCCATATAAGGCTACAGCTTCAGCAGTTTATGTTCTGCAGTTTTGACCTGGGCATTCTTACAAATGACTCAGTCTAAACGAGTCTGGGTCTTTCTGACCCAAAAACAAACCTATGTATATTTTTTAAACTTTAAAATAATAACGTATACATTTAAGAGAATGTCATCGTTATTATAAGATATGTTATTGATCAGGGTCTCCCTCTGCTGGAACTTCCCATTATTTCAAGGGATTCAACAAGAGTTTTAACGGTGAGGAACCCTCAGGACCTTGGTCCTGAAGACATTTTTTAACCGTTTTCTATTATCTACCCGGATGATTGAGCTTACTAAGATTTTTTTCACATACTGTATGTGCAGCATGGGTATGCTGAATGCTTGTAAAGCAGGGCTATTCAACTAAATTGATCAGGGGGGCAAAGTTACTGAATGCCAAGAGCTCAGGGGCTGAATATTCAGTAGTTATTGTAATTAAGTAAGTTTGTTTTATTGTTTAAATCTAGTTATTTTTTAAATGAACTCAATGGTGGGCCGAACTGAGTTAATCTGTGGGCCTGATTTGGCCCCCGGGCCACCAGATGAATAGCCCTGTTGTAAAGCATAAAGTCAATCCATTTGCATAAATGATGTTTTAGCTGTGATAATTGCTAATTTCCACACAAACCAACAGAAGAAATGACTCCTTTATTGTGTCTAAAATATTTAATCAAAAATCCACATATTACAAAATTATACAGCTAGTCATAATCATAAGAAAAAGCTAGTTAAAATTGCACTTATTCAGTATTTTGATGTGGTTGGTTTAGTGTGAATAATAAGGACTTTCAAAATGTCTAAAAATCTGCCTTCGTACAGATATTTCTGTTGTTTCTGCCTCAAACCAATACTATAAACAAACGTTTGAAATACTAACAAAGGTTATGCAAAAAAAAAAAGCTCAGTCAATTTCTGTTTCAACATATAACAAGTACAAAATATGAACAAATCTCACAGTAAATCTACATCAACAAAAGGAAAAACATACAACACACATAAAATCACATGCAAAATTAAAAATAGAGAATTACATTACTGTTGTGACAAACAGTAAGTACAGAGAACAAGTATACAGTACATGCACAATTTTATATTGTAAAACAATTCTTATCAGCTGACGGATCAAGTTACAAACTTCTACGTCTTCGTTTTCACCGTTATGGAAACGATAAAAGAAAGAAAAACGAAAATGTTTCAGATGACTACGCTGGTACTGCTATGGGAGCCTCTATCCTAAGAAGAAAAGTGACAAAAAGCAAGATTAGAGTCTAAAACGAAGGTGTAACAGTAACACATGCAAGTAGGCAAAAATGAATGAGCAAAAGATGCACAAGAAAATGAGAAAACATGGAAGTCAACACTAAAAGATATTAAGCGTGGTGTTACTGCCACGAAGAACTTAGTAAACGTATTGCAGCGTTCTGCTGACACTTGGTGGATGTGAGAAATGTATGGAACAAATGGAGATGTAGGTTATGTTCATGTTTGTGCTCCTAACTACTATTTAGTAAAAAAATGCTTTGAGATGTCTGATAAGAAATATTTTTAATGCCATATAGTTTCCATCCTGTGTTCCTTTAATAGATTATTTTGCTTCCAATCAAAAATCTACTGCGCCAATTTTTCAGATGCAGCAACATTTCAGACAGAAAAAATAGAGCAACACTTTCTGTCTGCATTGCAGCAGCACACTCACATGAGCCAGACACACAGAAGTCTGTTGGAGTCAGCATCCCCACCATCACAGACATCTACACCTCCAGATGCAGGAAGAGAGCCACCTGCATCATGAAGGACCCCACTCACCCAGCACACACACTTTTTGCCCCGCTTCCCTCAGGAAGGAGGTTCCATCCATCTATCCATCCATTTCTTCTGCTTATCCAGGGTCGGGTCGTGGGGGTAGCAGCCTAAGTAGGGAGGCCCAGACTTCCCTCTCCACAGCCACTTGGGCCAGCTCTTCCGGGGGAATCCCGAGGCGTTCCCAGGCCAGCCGAGAAACATAGTCCCTCCAGCGTGTCCTGGGTCTTCCTCTGGGCCTCCTTCCGGTGGGACGTGTCTGGAACACCTCACCAGGGAGGCGTCCAGAAGGCATCCTAAACAGATGCCCAAGCCACCTCAACTGGCTCCTCTCTATGTGGAGAAGCAGCGGCTCTACACTGAGTCCCTCCCGGATGATCGAGCTTCTCACCCTATCTCTAAGGAAGAGCCCAGACACCCTGCGGAAAAAACTCATTTCGGCCGCTTGTATCCAAGATCTCATTCTTTCGGTTACAACCCAAAGCTCGTGACCATAGATGAGGGTAGGAACGTAGATCGATCGGTAAATTGAGAGCTTCGCCTTTTGACTCAGCTCTCTCTTCACCACGACAGACCTGTACAGCGCCTGCTTCACTGCTGACGCTGCACCTATCCGCCTATCGATATCACGCTCCATTTTTCCCTCATTCGTGAACAAGACCCCAAGATACTTAAACTCCTCCACTTGGGGTAGGACCTCCTCCCTGACCCGGAGAGGGCACTCTACCCTTTTCCGGCTCAAGACCATGGCCTCGGATTTGGAGGAACTGATCTTCATCCCGGCTGCGTCGCATTCGGCTGCGAACCGCTCCAGCGAAAGCTGTAGATCATGATCTGATGAAGCCAATAGGACCACATCATCTGCAAAAAGCAGAGATGCAATCTTAAGGCCACCAAAACGTATCCCCTCAACACCTTGGCTGCGCCTAGAAATTCTGTCCATAAAAGTTATGAACAGAATCGGTGACAAAGGGCAACCATGGCGGAGTCCAACTCTCACCGGGAACAAGCCCGACTTACTGCCGGCGATGCCGACCAGGCTCTGACACCGGTCATACAGGGACCTAACAGCCCGTATCAAAGGGCCCGGTACCCCATACTCCCAGAGTACCTCCCACAGGGTTCCCCGAGGGACGCGGTCGAACGCCTTCTCCAAGTCCACAAAACACATGTAGACCGGTTGGGCAAACTCCCACGCACCCTCCAGGACCCTGCTGAGAGTGTAGAGCTGGTCCAGTGTTCCACGGCCAGGACGAAAACCACACTGCTCCTCCTGAATCCGAGGTTCGACTATTCGACAGACCCTCCTCTCCAGAACCCCCGAGTAGACCTTACCAGGGAGGCTTAAGAGCGTGATTCCCTGTAGTTGGAACACACTCTACGGTCCCCCTTTTTGAATAGGGGGACCACCACCCCGGTCTGCCAATCCAGGGGAACTTCCCCCGATGTCCACGCAATATTGCAGAGTCACGTAAGCCAACACAACCCTACAACATCCAGAGCCTTAAGGAACTCCGGGCGAATCTCATCCACCCCTGGGGCCCTGCCACCGAGGAGCTTTTTAACCACCTCGGTGACCTCAGCACCAGAGATTGGAGGGCCCGACCCAGAGTCCCCAGGCTCCGCTTCCTCAGTGGAAGACGTGCCGGTGGGATTGAGGAGGTCTTCAAAGTATTCCGCCCACCGACCCACAGCATCCCGAGTTGAGGTCAGCAGCACACCACTCCCACTATAAACAGTGTTGGTGGCGTACCGCTTTCCCCCCCTGAGACGCCGGATGGTGGACCAGAATTGCCTCGAAGCCGTGCGGAAATCATTCTCCATGGCCTCTCCGAACTCCTCCCATGCCCGAGTTTTTGCCTCACGACCACCCGAGCCGCATGTCGCTTGGACTGCCAGTACCCATTAGCTGCTTCCGGGGTCCCACAGGCCAAAAAGTCCCGATAGGACTCCTTCTTCAGCCTGACAGCATCCCTCACCCCTGAAGGAGGTTGAGGAGCATTAATTGTAGAACCACTGGACTGAGGAACAGCTTCTACCCTGAGGCTGTTAGACTCATGAATATCTACCCAAGATAATCACTGTGAAAAAACAAAAATCACTGTAGTGCCACTTGATTGTTGATATGTGCTGCTGATTATCCATGCTGCTGATCTCATGCTGCTGATTTATTTCATGCTGCTGTATTATTTCGTCCTCATCTGTTCACAGACTCATGCTCGTGCTGCTGTTGTTCGACTCATTTTTTTTTGTAACAATGGGGTTTAGCGTATTCTTAGTTTAGCGTATTTCTCAGTTCATATCTTAGAAGTTATTACTGTTTTTCTTTTACAATTTATACTTTTGTTGGATGTAACTGGGACCCTGTGTACATAATTTTGTTCCACCACATGTACCTCATGAGATGCCAATGACAGTAAAGGAAATTTGACCTTGATTTAATCTCAGAATTCTGAGATTAAAGTTAGAATCAATCTATCTAATTCTGATGTTTTTCCTCATAATTCTGATTTAATCTCATAATTCTGACTTTTTTTCCCTCAGGATTAAGAAGAAAAAAAAATGGCACAGTGGCCCCTAATCCTCTTCCATACAAAACAAATCTTCCTTCATCTATTCAGGCATCACTTTTACATCACCACTATTTAGACTGGTTGGTGTTGATTTTGTCACCTTTTGTTTTGAGGCATGTTTGACAGAATTCATGGAGTCAAACTATGTGGTATAACCACAGTTTTGCAACCACTGGTACACACTGGTTGCTTCAACACACGCTCATTGTTTTCAAGATCACAATTTTTACTCTGCTGTGGCCCCTTCCTTTGTAACTTGGGCCAAATGTGTGAACCAACCTGCTTCTCTCAGCCTGCAGTGATTCTAGTTGCCACGTTGACCTTCATTAAAACGGTCTGCAGTGCTGTTAAAAGTGCTGTGGACCCAGATAAATGTCTACCTGAACTCAAGCTTGAAACTCCTTTTTGAAGCAGGTGCATTAATAATTCTCTGTTTAGCATTTCACTTAGCACACTGACTCTGGCACATTTACTTGACTTACTTATACCACATCTGTGTTTGTATTTTTTAATCTTATACAAACAGCCCTACATGTCGTTTGTCTGAAATTTATTTAAAATATTGTATTTATGACTATTTGGTTTGCAGGTTCTGTTGACTGTGTTGAGATATCTCACTGCTTCAAAGTCACGATCATATTTAGGGTCGCAGCACTCGAAGGGTAAACAAGCAAGAGAAAAGGTGAAGAATGAAAGTGAGGAAACAGAACAAGACAAACTGAGCAAGGCTTAGCAGACTGCTGGTTCAGGATCTTACGGAAAGGTGGTCGTAGTTCCTGCGTCCGTTATCACGTCCAGGCTCGACAGAAAAGTAGCTGGGGGGCCTCTCTGGCCAATCCTTCCCTCTCCTGCCTTTTCTCCTTCTGCTGTCCTCCTCGTCTGAGCTCCAGGAGCCTTTTCGGTGCTGAGGAGGAGAGTAGCTCCTCTCCCTCCTACTGGATCTAGCGTGCAGCTCTTCAATCAGGTCATCTCGGCTTCGGGTACGTGGTTTGGACCTTCCTCTCCTCCTTCCACCCGAGCTTCCTCTCTCATTCCTTGAACCCCTGTGTGGTGCTCTTCCTCTCCTGTTGTCCAAGTCTGAGTCGTCGCTGTAATGTAGGATCCCCTGTATGTGCAGGGGTACGTCTCTGTACCCCCGGCCGTCCCGCTGGTAGCCTCCTCCAGAGCGGTTGGTGCTCCCGCTGGACTGACTGGATAATCTGGGATAGCCTCTGGTTCCATCTCCACCAGAGCCACTCCTGCGGGAGGAGAAGCTGGGTACTCGCTGGATAATAGGAGGCAGGGTGATGACTCTTCTCTCTTCATTTTTTACCCCCATCTCATCCAGCGCTGACAGCATGCTCGGGGGCCCAGGGGTGTAGGGGACTGATGGAGGAGAGGGCTGGGGCTGCAGTGGCACGTTCCGAACAGTCTGTGGAGCCCCCTGAGGGACCCCGACGTCCAGGCCCCTCACCTGGTTTTCCAGATAGTCCAGCACCTGGTTGTTTCCAGGACCGGGGCCACGCAGGCTGTTGTAGGTGTAATGTTGTGGAGGAGGTGGGGGTTGCTGTGGCACGGCTATAGGTGTCAGCTGAATAGGAGCCATGGCAAAGTTTGTTTTGACCGGATAATCTGTGGGTGAACCTGAAAGTAACACAACAAAGTACACAAAACACACAACAATGAACCTGCAACGTCTTCTTGTTTTAAGAAAAGAAATCAGTTTAACATTTACATATTTCAGGGCTAGAAAAAGTTCCTTAGCATGTTTTGTATTAAATAAATCACTGAAAATATGAATAAACCCTCGGGTCGCTGAAGCCAAACTAAACAAACACACCTTGGATACAGAAACAAACGATTTAACACAGAAGACGACATATTATTCACCTGGATAGAGTAAAGGTACACCCTGGGAGGAGGCGTTAGAGCTGATGTTTGTATAAATAGGTTGACCGTTCATCCATGGAGCCATAAATTTCTGAGTTTCTTTCAGCATCCGGTGCTGCATCACAACTGAAATCAGAGCAGAGACGAGAACGGTTCAAATGATGGAAACTGACCCCGAACTAGTTGATTTTAATATAAAGTTAGGTATTAAAAATACAAATGTTTCTGTACATAAAAGAAAAGCTAAACAATTAGTTTTGAAATTACACAATGCACATTTCATTTTGTCAACAGCAGAATTCCCTCTTTACTAAATAAATATTTTAACTTTTGTTTAATTATATTATTGGAAAATATTTTACCCTGGTTTGTAAATCAAGTTCCAAAGTAGTTAAACAAAGAAACAAAAAATATATATTTACACAATTAATCTGGCAGCTAAAATCCATGATCAAAAGAAAGATTAATTCTGCACATCACATACAGCACTGTGCAACAAGTTTTACAAACACAAAATTAGTCCATGAAAAAAAGACTCATTATTGAGACCATGTGGAATATTAATAATAATAATAATAATAATAATAATAATAATAATAATAATAATACTTTATTTATAAAGCCCTTTAAAAAAACCACAGCTGCAACAAAGTGCTGTACACATAAAATCAAGAATGTTTAAACACATAAAAATAAAACAGTTGTTAAACATTAAGATCAATAAAAACAATAAAAACAGTGCAGAACAAATTCAGTGTGTGCTAAAAGCCGGGGAGTAAAAATGTGTTTTTAAAAGAGTTTTAAAACTGGACAGTGACGGGGCTCATCTGATGGGAAGAGGGAGATCGTTCCACAGTCTTGGAGCAGCAACAAAAAAGCTCTGTCCCCTCTGAACCTCTGTTTGGACCTCGGCACCTCCAGGAGCAGCTGATCTGAGGCACCGAGCAGGAGATTATGGGCGAAGCAGCTCAGAGACGTGGGGGGGGGGGGGGGGGGGGCTTGCTCATAATAATGTGTTATGTGTTGTCATCATCGTGTGTTCCCATACAATGGCAAAAATGGCTCTCTGCATTTAACCCATCGCGCCTGAGATACGCTCAGGTGGAGCAGTGAGCAGCTATTGAGCTATTGAAAGCTGCTCGTGGAGCAATTATTAGGGATGGGGCCGATCCGATCCCGTATTGGTATCGGGCTCTGATACCAGCATATTTATGTATCGGATTTTCTGATTCAACCTGCCGATATTTCCGATCCATGATGCATGACTGCGGTTGCGTTGCACGTTGACTTCAAACTATGGAATGGATTTCCTGAACGGCGGCGTGTCTCATGAGCCTAATAATAAGACCAGCCTCACATTCAAGAAATCCATTTCATAGTTTGCAGCCAGCTACAACGTGAGGACTGAGTTAGCAGCACTGTGGCTAACAGCTAACAAACTTTTCATATAAACATGTCCACCGTGTTGAAGTATTTTACACTAGAAACACCACAAAACAAGACAGTAATGTGCAATGTCTGCAGAGCCATAGCGCCACATTAAACCACGGTAAAGTTAGTTTTACGATGGACATTCGAGCTCCGTGGCTTCAGCGGTCTGTTATTTTCGTTCAGTCTGGAGAAGGCAGTCTGATCTCGGTCAGCCACGCTCAGTCTGTCCGTGTCGGAGGAGGGGCAGACTGAGTGTGGCTGACCGAGATCAGGCTGTTTGCTTCGGATTGAACAAGAAAAACACATCGCTGAAGCCCCGGAGCTCGAATGTTTACAGAGAAGTTGCTAAACTTCATCGTAATTAATGACAAACCGCTGTCAGTTGTAGAAAACGAAGGATTTTGCAGCTTGATACTTGCAGCCAAGATATAGTTTACCCTCCAGAGATATTTATCAGTACAACAGTAGACAA